ACTGAGAAAAACAGAGAACGAAGAAGAAGCAAAAAATGTTGGCTTTTTCAACAGTGATAACATCAGGGCCAAATCTATACCTTCCAAAGAAACCTCAGAATTTTCACTTCCCAATTCGGTGCCTTTCTTCACCATCTTTATCAGTTTCGAGCCAACCATCAAAGCCGACCCAATTCGATTTAAAGACTTACTGGACTACCCTTATAGCAGAAATCAATCAGAAGCTTGAAGAAGCAATCCCGGTCAAGTACCCTGAGCGGATCTATGAAGCTATGAGGTACTCTGTTCTTGCAAAGGGTGCTAAGCGAGCCCCTCCCGTTATGTGTGTCGCTGCTTATGAACTCTTTGGTGGTAACCGACTCGCTGCTTTTCCTACAGCTTGTGCTCTTGAAATGGTTGGTCCTGTTTTTCCTTTTATTCAACTTCCTCTGTTTCTCAGATTGTAAGTTTCTGTTAAATATGATCCTTTTTTGGATAAACAAGGCTTAAGAATCTGTCTAAGGATTATGGTACAAGACTTTGGTTGGATTTGTTGATTTGAAGAGAAAAAAGTCGATAATTTTTTTAGAATCTTCCTTTGGTGGTACTGCAGTAGGTTCAGTATGGAATATAGACTCCTAGTTAATGTTTTAATAGAATCGAGGTTGATTTGGTCGTTTTTTGCAACTAGAATTAGGATCTAACGAAACAAGTAACCTTTCCCAATGCTTTTAGGATTGTTTTTTGAATAATATCAATCTCCTAAATAACTTATGAATATTAAAATTAGAACGATTCCCAGGATTATATACACTAATGTCCAACTCACTGTGCCGTATACTTTTAAAATTTTTGGTCCACTGAATACAGCCTTAATCATGCTTAATTCATGAATAAATGGGATAGGACTGATCATTTTTTTTTATCCAGAATTAAAGTTTGACTTTGACCCGGGAAGAGTAATCTTTCCTGAAGACTTTTAGGATTGCATTTAAACAATATCATTGCCTGAACTGAGGTAAGCATCTTACTCATTCAGAGAAATACATGAAAAGAAAGAAAACACTCATTCCTTTATCCTCAGTACAGTGTTTAAGATTCATGAGCCATGGAATTCGAACTTCAATATAAATTCATAGTTTTAGCTTTCTTTTAATATTTCATGTTTTCTTTTGCAAAGCAATTAAACATCCAAATTTGAATTGAGGCTGTGACAATAACCAATCTCTATGTTAAGATTAAAGCCCTGAAATCAAGGAGATATCTTTTGGCTGTATGAAAGTATTTATATAAAGTGAAGTTGGCTTTTACATTGTCTGTAAGTAGTTTAGAATGGGCACCAGATGGTATATAATTCCAATAACTTTATGAAAACTGCATTGGCTTAGCTGCAAGTTATAACTGAATTTCACTCTCTTTTTCACAGGTTCACAGTGCTTCACTAATTCATGATGATCTTCCCTGCATGGATGATGATCCAATACGCAGAGGTCAACCCTCTAGCCATACAATATATGGTGTCGACATGGCAATCCTGGCTGGCGATGCACTCTTCCCTCTTGGCTTCCGCCATATTGTCTCTCAAACACCTACTGAACTTGTTCCTGAGGCACGCATCTTGCGTGTGATTGCTGAGATTGCCCGCACAGTGGGATCTGCTGGCATGGCTGCTGGGCAGTTTCTAGACCTCAAGGGTGACGCCAATTCTGTTGATTTTATTCAAGAGAAAAAATTTGGTGAAATGAGTGAGTGCTCTGCAGTGTGTGGGGGTTTGTTGGCTGGTGCTGAAGATGATGAGATACAAAGGTTGAGAAGGTATGGGAGAGCTGTTGGTGTATTGTATGAAGTGGTGAATGATGTTTTGGAGGCAAAATTGGTGGAAAAGGAGGAAACTGAGAAGAACCAAAAGAAAGGTAAATGTTATGTGAGTATGTACGGGGTTGAGAAGGCGATGGAGGTGGCAGAAGACCTCCAGACCAAGGCTAAGGACGAATTGGATGGGTTTGACAAGTATGGTGAGAGCGTAGCACCACTATACAGCTTCATAGATTATGCTTTTTATAGAGACTTCAATGTTGATGACTTGAGTTAATGATGCATTTTTTTGCATTCTGCAATTGATGAGGCGCTTAATGTTATTGAATTTAGTTGATCTCGAAATTTGCTGCAATGCATCATCAGCATAGTTCGGGGAAAAAAATGGGTACATGCTGATGTTTTGGAGCCCCTTGGATACTTTGTTTGCATTCAGATAACGCCTCATGGCCAGAAGTGTGCTTATTTCTGGCCCTTTGGCAGTTCATTTAGTTTGTTCTTCAACACCATCTTTTTGGCAGCAAAAATGCTGCAAATCGGACGTAGACAAAGAAAACAATGTGTCATTAAAGGAGTCCTGGGGTCTCTTGTTTGTTCTCCCACTTATATTCATTTGATTGAGGGCCGGCAACATGTAAGATGTTTAATACTGATTGGTCAAAAATATAATTACTAGCAATTGTTGTCATGAAAAGCCTGAATCTATTCTTTGTGCGTTCTTGTCAGCATGCATGAAAGACTTGGTAAGTTGAAGACGCAATACTAAACTTCAAAGTAAAACCAAGAATATCAATAGAGACCCTCTGTGTCCATATCAGATTGGTTGAAACCAACCGGTGAATCTCCATAATTGGTGAAACAAGGGTGAAGTCAAAAGGGCCTCCTAGTCCTACCAAAGATAGTAAAATGCAACAGCTTGTGAGCAATTTTCTTTTCATTGCCTTCTCTTTGCCTCTTACCAAACTTAGAAAAGTGCAAGGGTCCTTGGGCAAGCCGATAAGGCCATATTGGTCAGGGCTAGATCGAGCTTTTCTCCATGTCTGTCAAGCAGGGCAGCGAGCCCTATGATGTTACATTCCATTATTTCGACACGAATGATCAATTTGATTAATGAAACAGATCACTAAATTTCCACTTTCACGCTACGTTACGTCACAGTGTCTGTGCTAAGAGAAAGACAGGACTAGATTTACCCACCACCTCACATCATCCATAAAGAATTACTACTAATCTGCCATGTCATGCTGGGGGGTCAACATCTAACATGCGCACAGTTTTCGACGGAACCCCCCTTGTTCTATCCCCCCTCCTGTCCCAACAAAATAAAGAAATCAAAACGCCAAATACTACCCAGGTACCCAGATCGAATCCTCAGTCAAAAAATCCCAAGAAACGAACCGAACACCAAGAAGCTGAAAGCAAATAAGGGGGATGGCGAGTGGGAGCGTGGAGAGCCTGGATCAGTTGCCTACGGCCCTTCTGGCTACCATCATGACAAAGCTTGATATCTCTTCCATCAGCTCATTGGCTGTCACATGCAGGAATTTCAATTCCTGTGCTTCCCAGATCCTCTCCTTTCTACCCAATTTCCATATCCTTGTAAGTATAATCATCCTTGTTTGCATCAAATTTTGGAACTTTCGCTGATTTTTACGTTGCTTTCTCTTTACTTGGTGAAAGAAATTGTTGACGTTTGTTTTGATTGCTGCGGAAAGCGAACGGGAAAAGCTTCAAAATTCCCTCAGTTGTTTATTCTTGATTTGGGGTTGGAATGGCCGAAATGTATTGACTTTTTACATTATTTTGGTTCCCAGTTCCTCCCCGAACAAAAGAAAATCTGAATCTTGATGTGATTTTTGGAGTTTCAAGTTAAATCATAATAGGTTTTTATTAACAGTGCATTGACGTAATCTGATCTTTTGGCAGGATATTTCGCCATCAATGGAATTAATCAAGCCACTATTGCCACCGAATCCATACCTTAAAAGCTTAAAGCTTGATTGTGGTCAGCTTAATGATTCATCCGTTGAGCTTTTACTTCGACCTTCTTTGCAGGAACTTTGCTTACACAATTGTGCAGATTTTAGTGGAAAACTACTCTCTGAGATTGGATTACGATGCAAGGACGTAAGGTAGATATCTTCTTCTGAATTAAGAGTGCATATCACTTTTCATAGTGTTTTAACAGATACTTTTTCTGGGTTAGATTTGTTGGGAAAGTATTGATGATAGATTTATGATGATGGTTTTGTTACCACTTACAAAAGATGTTGTCATTAGCTTTATATGTTAAATTTCATTCAGGTCTCTCTACTTGGGTTCAGTGGCTGAGAAAAGGGGCCGGGCAGTACATATTTCTGACCTGGAGGAGTTACTCAGGGGTTGCACCCAATTAGAAGTAAGGCTTATTTGTGAAAGTAATGAATGAAAAAAAATGTGTAAAAAGTTAGTTGAAGATCCAAGGAAATTTTTGGTAATACATTAAACATAAAGATGGAACCAGTTAGCTATTTTGATTCATTTTCAAAGGAGAGAAGGAGTTGATATATTTTCAAAAGACCCAGAGTTTCTAGTTTTTGGACATCTATTATTATGGCTTCTTTTGTCTATGTTTGTGCCTTGATATAAAAGTTAGTTTTAGTCCCCTTCAAGGGTTAGCCCTGGACTGAGAGCTAGGGCATGAAATGCTTGGCATTTTCAAAAAATTCTCTACACTATTCCCAAGTTACAGATTAATATTCACCAAAATCATTATAATCATCTTCTGATTACTTGCTGAATTCATATCATTCAATGGTACTACAGGATATATGTGAATAGAGGGAAATACCAATTTATACTTTCTAATGGGATGAATTTGTATCACTTGTATGGAAGGGTTTCATATTTGAAGTGCAATAGATCATTAACATTCATCTAGTTGAGTGAGTGGAAATATTCATCTAGTTCATACATTTACTGGGATTGGTAAATTAGCTTCCTTATTGGCCATTCTGATAATCAATTGTTTATGGGCATCATACCAAACTGTCTATGTTTCATGTACAAAACTTACTCTGAATACTGGCAGACTTTTGAATTTATATTCTTCCCGTTACTTGATGTACATTTTTCATGCATAAACTACATCTGTGTCATTTTGGAATGATCCAACACGGGCCACCTGACATTCATTCATTTTTCTCTTGGATTCTATGGCAGGCACTGAATCTGATGTTTGACATATCACTATTTCTTCGTCATAACTTTGCTAGAGTTTGGGGTTTAGCTACAGAAAAGCTCTCTTCTCTTGAGATTGGCTACATTTCTTCAGTTACAGTGACTGAATTGCTTAGCCCTAATGTTGGACCCCATCAGTGCCCAAATCAAATTCGACCATCTATATTGCCTGGCATCCAGAAATTATCGCTTTCTGTAGATTATATTACAGATACGATGGTCAGTACAATATCAAAAGGTCTCATCTTACTGACACACTTGGAACTTCGAGATGCACCCCTCATAGAACCAAGAGTTACCTTTGATCTTACCAATTCTGGCCTTCAACAGATCAATCAGCATGGGAGATTGAAACATCTTTCTCTTGTCAGGAGCCAGGAGTTCCTTATTACTTACTTTAAGCGAGTAAATGATCTCGGGATCCTACTTATGGCTGACAAGTGTGCAAAGATGGAAAGCATTTGCCTGGGTGGCTTTTGTCGTGTTACGGATACGGGTTTCAAGACAATTCTGCATTCTTGCTCAAGCCTGTACAAGCTTAAGGTGTCCCATGGATCCCAGTTGACTGATCTGGTTTTTCATGACATTGCTGCAACTTCCCTCTCTTTGACTCATGTTAGCTTGAGATGGTGTAATCTTCTAAGCAACCATGCCGTCAGGAGTTTGGTCTGCAACTTGGGTCTTAAAGTTCTTGACTTGAGAGACTGTAAAAGTCTTGGGGATGAAGCCCTACGAGCTATCAGCTCTCTCTGTAAATTGAAGATGTTATTGTTGGATGGCTCTGATATAACTGATGCAGGAATAGCATACTTAAATCGGGGAATTATCAGCTCATTGGTTTCATTATCTGTTAGAGGATGCAAGAAACTTACAGATAAATGCATCTCTGCTCTATTTGATGGCTCTTCTAAACTGGAGTTGCAAGAGCTGGACCTATCTAATCTTCCTGGTCTCTCTGATAATGGAGTCTTAACACTTGCAAAAAGCCGGGTTCCAATTTCTGAACTCCGAATGCGACAATGTCCACTCATAGGTGACACTTCAGTCATGGCACTAGCCTCAATGCAGGTTGATGATGACAGAGGGCATGGTAGTAGTTTGCAATTGTTGGATCTTTACAACTGTGGTGGCATCACACCACTTTCATTCCGGTGGTTGAAGAAACCTTATTTTCCAAGATTGAGATGGCTAGGCGTGACAGGGAGTGTAAATAGAGATATTGTAGATGCTTTAGCTAGAAATAGACCGTTCTTGCATGTTGCTTGCCATGGTGAGGAACTAGGGACTGACCCGTGGAACGACTCAGATGGTTTATACATGCATGACTATGAGGAGATGGATGAACTTGAACAATGGCTTCAGGAGGGAGAGGGTGAGAGTGATGATGAGGAGATGGAGGATGCTGAAGATGATTTGCTGATGGAATAATATCTGCATGTATATTTACATTTTACTCTTGTTAACTAGCTACCGTTGGATGAGACATTAACCCATTAGATTCCTTTGCCTGTAATATATTACTGTGGATGTATTATTGGTGATTTTTGCTTCCTTGCTAGTTTTCAAATTGCAGAAGGTTTTCTTTGATAGGATTCAGTGAACTAGTGCTTTGCCCAGTGTTCATTGGTCTCCTGGATAACCGAATCTAATAGGTTTGGCTACGACAAGCAAGGAATCATGGACTGACAGTCATAAAGCTTTGATATATTTCAGGTTATAGATTTTGTTCTTATCATCTACAAACTCAAAGAGTATGAATATGTTAGTTCTTGGACAACAACTAATGGCTGTTCATTCCAATGGGCTGATGAATTTGTCTGTAGGCCGTAGCCTTATTGTTCATTGGCTCGTGACTGCAAACGTTTCTGTGGAGATCCTGAATTCTTGGCAATCAATGATTTATCCCAACCCCTTAAAAGCTCTGCTGTCAATTTTTCCCAAGGACTAGAGACTTTTAAGTCACATATGCTGTCTATCGCAACAATGCGGGGGCCACAGAAAGTGATGTTGTCATCTACCAACTATGTGTCGGTCGCAATCCTTTTGGACATTAGGGAGACGATTCTGTCCTGAGTATACCACAGCATTCCAACCTGTACGTCGAAAGCTGAAATGATGAAACTGCAGGTGAGCCAGTGCAATCGTAGCATCGGTCTCAGATACGGGTCTTCTAAATTCTAATGTGGGTCACCAGAAGTACTACAGCATGGAAAGCTATAGTGATAGGCTCTTTCAGCTTCAAGCCTTATCCATTTATCCTCCACGTATTGAGATTGCAATTTCTGGCAAGTCCATGATTCTGACATGGCAGCTTTGTCAAAACTGTCTGGGCCTCAGCCTCAGGTTGCTTCTTCTTCATTCTTTCAAAAATTCAAGCCGAAATCTATTTTCTTGAGCTTCATTCCCTTAGTTGGATGAATCTCTACTCAAACAACATTACCTAATCTTGATGACCCTGGAAAAGCCACAAATTTGGTAAGATGTATAATGCTCACAATTGTAAACGCATGACTCATCTTTACTTATCTACTATTAGATTATATAATATTTTCTCTTATTCAAATCCATAACACATCGGAATCAAATTGAAGTTCACTTAATGTTATTCTGTTATAAAATAAATAAATTTCAAAACATTTAAAAGTTAAAGCCATGGTGCAATAACGATTTTTGAATCCTATTTCAGTCAATAGGCAAAGTTTTAAAACATGCAGAACATATGCGGTTGAAGAAACGCTAAATTAAACTCAACTTGCACGTACTACAAAATCTTTCAAGGAAAATCAAATTTAGGTTTTATTCTATTTGTAATGCTTTCTTATTATCTTCGTGCAGAGCATGCGTTATTGATTTCTAAATGATCTTTTGCCGATCTGGGAATTGAACTACCACAACAAGACAGATAATTAATATATTTATTTGAAATAATGCAATTAACTGTGCTTGTCATATTCCAAATACAATGTTTCTTCACATATTATAAAAAAATAAAATATTCGTCACATGCTACATGAAGAAGACTTTAAAGTTTTCTTTTTATATATATTTCAGGACATGATTATTGAATCAATATTTTACACGTTTAGTAACTATTTTTACAAAACAATATGAAAATAATTGAAGATTGACATAATCCAAATCATATTTTAAATGAAGAGCATTTCATTTTTAACTTAAATTTTGATTATATGTATATGTGAATAGTTTACATTTTCAAATCAAAAAATATATTTATTAAATGAATTAAAGTTTTTATTTATCAAAATTTATCTCATCTTTTAATGATACGAAATTTATTATATATATATATATTATGCATATATATGTACAAAAAAATTACATAAACTCTAAATTTTTAAATGATAAGAGCCTTTATCGTGAAAAGCATGTCGTGTTTAAAAATAATGAATTATTTTTTGTGTTAATTTAATTAATTTTAACGAGAAAAAAATGTTTTAAAAATTATGATAATTTGATGATTGACATTTTTTATTCACACAATAAATTAGGTAACTTGTCCTCATTCAATGAATTGACAAACACTGTCTAGATTCAATGTATACCCCAATAAATGTTATAGAAAAGGAAAAATCAATCATGCAAAAAAACAGTGATAATTGATATGATACCCCATCACATGAAATGAGTCGCAAGTCCTCAGCTTTTATAAAATAATAATAATAATAATAATAATAATAAAACATTGGCATAATTTTACTATATGTAATTTTAGGATAATGGTAATGGCTAACTATTTATACTGATTATTTTATATAAATTTACTTTATCATGGTTTGTAATGATTTTTTATCTCTCACGTTAATATCATATTAATAAAAAAAGATAAATAATATTTTTATTAATGTTAGATAATCAATCATTAATTTACTTAATATAAAATAAAATATAAGAATTTAATTAAATATAATAAAAAATAATAAACTTATTTAAATTTTCTTAAATACTTCATTTAAACAAAAAATTAATTGAGAGTTATTAATATATGCTTTGAAATTGTAAAATGATATTTTTTTTCTAATAATTTTTTCATTTATTTTCATGATACTCCTCTTTATCAACATATAAGTAAACAGCACAAAAACACAGACTGCGAGTCAGATAGCAGTATGGCTCTCCTCCATGTTTGGAGAAACCTAAAATACATGTCCTGGATTTTTATACTGATGCAACTGCAAACAGCAAACAAAATCCTCTTCTAAGATCGGAGATGCATGCTTTATGTTCCACGGGCATTGGCCCAACATGTCCTTTCCAAAGGAACACCATGTTTGCTACCTAAATATGGCTTACGGCCAGACCAGCTAACTTGCAAAAATATTATTATTGACATAACCCTAACATATATATATTAAAATCATTTATTCAATCAAACTTTTAACTTCTTATTACATTCAAAATAAATTTTCAAATTGTGATTTAATTTCAAACAAATTGTTAAATTTAAAAAAAATTTATCGTTTGTCAAGTTTAATATTAATAGATT